TTTTTTTTTTTTTTTTTTTTTTTTTTTTTTAAGACACGGATAAAATAGAATTGTAATAATACATAAGTTGTCTTTTAAACAACGAAATGCACGCGTGTTAATAAGAATTTAAATTAATCATGCACCAACATATTATTAATTAACTAATGCGAAAGAAAGAAAAAAAATTCATCTACATAATCGTGAGCAATCGAACTTTAGATGTTAAGTAATTTTAGTCGTAAACAGAATATTTAATTAACTACGATTCTTATCAGTCCCATGTAACGTGAAAAAGATATTTATGATAATGTAATCACGACATTACATCTTATCACTGTGTCATGATTAATCTGTTTCTTTTGTATATCAAAATTCTGCTCACAAATTTTACAATGTGAGGACAGTATAATTGGTAATAATGGAGATTGTATTTTAATATTCATACTTTTTTGTTGTGTAGATATGTTGGACGATTTCGAGAGTTCCGTGTCAGATATTCGTAAATTTATCCCAAACGAAAAAAAAATGCGTTTGCTTGGTCGATGCGTGTAAATAGAGATATAATAATATATTTATTATTTCCCTTACACCTTTTAACTTCCTTCTAAACAGGAGAAAGCAATTACATGTATTATTATAATAAGTTACATATAAATAAAAAGAAATGAAAATTCTTCTAAAGTTGATTTTCGTAAACATAATAAAAAGCAAGGACTATATAGAGGAAAGTATATGGTCTTCAATAGGTAATAATTGTAATTCATCACCAATTTTCAAATAACAGAGATCATCCTTCGTTGCAGGTTTCCACGTGATGTTCCATATGAACTCATCTTCTTCTACAGTAGGATCCCTGCATTAAACATAAATATGTAAACGCTAAATTCAAAGTTTAAATTACAAAATCACGTCAAAAATTTACCCTGTTTTAGCAAAGTTAGTCCACATTCTAGTCATTCGTTCAATCGTAATCCGGTCTTTTGTTCCAACCGCTGGTGGATTGGGATCTTTAGTTTTACAAAAAGGTTGATAAAACAAATACGCGACATCATCTACGTGCGACGCTCCTAAAATATCAGAGCAAAGGTTGTACTTGATAGTCGTGTATAAAATGTGATAATTGTGCGATAATGATCTGAAAAAATACCAGGCATAATACGCTGTCCTAAAACATCCGTAAGAGTTCTTTCCTTCCCAATGTATGAATATACACAAAAGTATTTAGGTGAATTTGTACATTTTATTTGATTATCAAATATTATCCTTGCAGGGATGCTGAAATAAGTATCAGTTATTAAATCTAAATACTTGTCTAGGTTTTCTTTAGTGACCGGTCCTCCACTGAAATACCAGTCCTCCACCTTGAGGACTAATTTTTCAATTTCCTCACTGTTTAAATTTTTCAGTTTTGCCATATATCCTATATGTTCACGTAGTAACGCATTGAAAGCTTTTATTGCGTTTACAGACGTATCTAAAGAGGAAAAAAGTTGTTTAGTATCGATACTCGTAGATTGGAGAATGTTTTATCCAAGAGAAAATTACCTGCGACGAACATAAGGCTCTCGCGCGCTGTGTGACTGATTATCAGAGGAACGTCTGCAGGTTTCATAATTAATTGTTCTATCGGTTCTGGTAAAACAGGATTTTCCGCTATTTCATCGCAAATGGGCCCAAAGGAAGGACCTAGAAATCTTAATTTCTACAAAACAAAAGAAGAAATTCTTGTTGTTTCAATACATCATACTTGATTATAATCTTCAAATAAATTAAAGAATCTCTCGCCTCTGTTTTCATAATGCGAACTTGAGCCCTCACGATGTCTTTGGCCGATACCGTTCGTAAAAATTTCAAAGTTTCTACAGGATCCGTGGAATCATTTCCAAGAAACGAGGCGAGTTTGAAACAAAAACTAGATTCACTTTGACTTGAGTTCCAAGTACAGTTCAGTGTTCCACTTTGTATAATCATTTTATGAAATAACCCTAAGTGAAAAATTGAATTAATAAAATTTATTAAATATCTTCTTAAACTTCCATGTATTTTAATGAATCACGAATAGCGCGAATCTTTTACCTCTCGCGCGTGGTGATACCAGTAAAGCATGGCTCAGAACTGCCCCAGCGCTAGCGCCGAAAACAGTGACATTCTTTGGATTTCCACCAAAGTTGCTAATATTTTCTTGTACCCATTCCAAAGCTGCGATTACATCTTTCAAACCTTGATTTCCTGCTGCATCTCGATGACCCAAATTTAAAAAGCCTTCAAAATTTCAAAATAATGCAAAAATTTCTCAGTTTTCTTTCATGAAAATGTGAATTCTTTTTTGAAATGATAAATCTTTTTTTCTAAATCACATAAATAAACAAAACAAAACTAACCGAATGCACCGAGTCTGTAGTTGGTTGTGACAACCACCACATCCTTCGGGAGCAAATAATCAGCTCTGTAACGCTGGAAAGACGAACTGCCGACTAGGAATGAACCTCCATGAATATAGAACATAACTGGCTTCGATTGTGTGAAGGAATTTGTGTAGACATTTAAATAGAGGCAATCTTCGTTGCATACTATTCCGAAAGGCTGGATGTCTAATAATTGTGGACAAAAATATCCTTCGCTGTCGGTAGCCTGTTTTATTCCGGTCCATGGTGGTAGTGGTTGTGGATCCTATTTTTTGCAAGAAAAATTAGATATCGCGTAGATCACTTTCTTTTAAAGTGCAACAAACGCGTAGTTAAAGATAAATCATGCCACGCGACACGAATTTTTCAAGTTACTTAGGTTAAATAAATATTTAATTAGGTTATTAAACTATCTCGAATTTTTTTCAACTCGAAGAAAGCTGTCACATTTTTTCAACGAAATGACGAATATTTTAGGCGTATGATAAAACAAAGGTGCAATAAAAATTAGACAAGAAATGTAAAAAATTTACCTTGAATCTGAGGTTGCCAACGGGAGGTAGAGCGAAAGGAATTCCCCTAAAAGCGATGTAAGATGATCCTAGGACACTTTTCACTCTCACACCCTGTAATTGGCCTTGTTTCACTGTTACTATCGGTTTACTCATTACTAACCAATCTGTAGTCAACTTGAGAAGTTGAAGCCTAAAGGAAAGTTGTACGTTTGACACAACCCACTCTCGTACTAACGTATTTATTAAACACTTCAAATTTTCGCTATTCACATATTACGTAATTAAACGTGATAACAAAAATCGACGGTCTAATTAATTGATAAAATGGTGTCACTTACATTCATTATACAAATATGTTAAATACACGTTTGCTTAAAAGGTTTGACAAGGAAATATGTAAATAGGTTATTACAAGTACTTTAGTAATATTTTACTAAATTATAACTAAGTCATTAGTCATATTTTATAAATACTCACTTTTTTTTATCAGTAATCACTATATTTTATACATACCATTCATCACTATGATTTATAGCTTTATTTGTCTTTAATTCAAAATACAATGTCAGATGATATAAGATTTACCTTTTAATATTGATATAACATATGCTGGCCATATTTGAAGTGAAATAACAAAAAATAACTGTCACACTAAATATTAATTATAATTAACATTTGATAAACGGTAATATTATAAAGAAAATCAACAATTGTGTATATGAAACCGATCGTAATATGTATAAAAAAAATTAGTTAATATTCAATTAGAATATGTGAATATAATTATAAACAGTACAGATACATGCAAACTGTATAAATAAACAACAATAAACTTGCTCATTGTATATGAATACAATATTATGGAAGAATTTTTTGCGGCACATTGTTTCTTCAAATACGATTGTATAAAAAATATAATCCATTTAAATTACGACATCGATATAATTTGATGTAAACTAATCAAGCTATAATATTTTAGTAAGTGCAGTTTGATTAGATTTATTACGTTTTCTTTAACGAAATTTCATGTTTTTTAGAGGGGGGGATAATTTGACAATATAAAAAAAAAAAATAATATCAAAAGTTAGCGTTTCATTTTGTCGAGTATAGGAACGACCATGTCAAAAGATGGGCGTTTTCCTGGATCTTCGTTCATACAAATTCTAATAAGTTTAGCAAGATGCGGTGAAATTCCTGGCGGTATACTGACACGTAAATCCTCCAATGCAATCTATAACAAATATCGAAAAAAAACAAATATAATTAAAAAATAAAAAATTTATGCCAAATTAATAATATGTAGATTGTAACCGACTTTCATGCCACATTCCATCGGCGAAAGATCTGCAAATGGAACTTCTCTAGTCGCAAGTTCCCATAGCAAAACAGCAAAACTCCACATATCACTGGCCTCAAGATTTATATCCGCTGGACGTTTACTTAGAGCTTCTGGCGACATCCATGCCGGTTCATAAATACGACCTACCTCTTGAAATGAAAATTTCGAATCTGCCATATTTACGCGAGCTGTTAAATCTTCATCAATCTACAAACATCACATTTAATGTTTAACCAATCCTTATATTATATTATACCACCGTTAATAACGAAGAAAGTTACCATAATATGTTTACTATTAAGATGGAATCTACATCTATTTTGTCTTTCGAGCCCATGAAGAAATGCCATAGCTCTTGCAACATCGAGCGCAAGTCTAAGTGCACGCGCAGTATCGACAACGACTCCTGTACCACCATGTAAAAGCCTATGCAAACTTCCACGTGCCATATATTGCGACACAGTAGCTAATTGTGGTGGTTGATTGACACAACCAAGTACAGGCAGTACATTGGGATGAGAAAAAATCCTTAATTTCGGGAATTCTTCGTTATAGTCCCTCGAGATGCGCGCCGTACATTCACGTATGTTCAAAATTTTTGCCACAATATCATTGTTTTGCCAACGTCCTCGCCAAGTTTCACCGCTTGGTGTACTAGCTAAGTGAGTATGTAGAGATAAATCTGCCATGTTGATCCCTTTGTGCCTTGACAGCGTGGCATCACCTGAATAATATAACTAAATGTTCGTAATTACAATATTAATTAATACTTCTTGATCTAGAAAATATGATACTCACGACTTCTAGTTTTTAAACCTAACCAGCTTTGATCTTTAAACTGAATCTTTTTTAAGTCCTGTCCATATTCCACAGCCAAATCTAACAGAAATTAAGTTAATAATATACCATAAAAGTACACTATTACAAATACATAATTAACAAATATTAATAGTAGTGTAATTTTTTTATCAATTATAATGTACCATGTAATCTTTTAGCCAAGTGACCTCGTGCTTTATCCAAAGGTGTATCGCCATCTTTATTCGCAATAGATACAAGAGCACCAGCAGTCACTAATTCCTCGGCAACTGCTTGATCACCCCAAAAGCAAGCATAATGAAGGGCAGTGTTACCATGCTCATTTGTGACATTAACATCTGCTCGATTCCTGAGTAACTATAAGAGTAAATTTTATTACATTTTTAAAGATAAAATATAATAATTCCCTCTAATAGGTTTCTTTATTTCCTAAAATGGTTCACTATGCATATATCATTTTTATTTTATTATTCAAACATGTAATTAATTATATCTAGCTTACCAATTGAACTATTTCTTTATGTCCATGGGCCGAAGCAAGATGAAGAGGAGTATCATCCCCTCTATTAGTTGCATTTATGCGTGCTCCTCTGCTAACTAGTAACTCTGCCAATTTTAAGTGCCCCTCTTTGCAACACCAATGGAGAGGACTGAACCCATGATCATCACTATACATAGAATATGAAATCATATATGAAATCAAATTGATATTATAAGTTGATATAATTCAATATAACGGTATAAGAAAAATAAGAAGAAATAAAAACTAAAAAATGATAAACAACAATTAAGAGAAACAAATAATTCTCAAGATTATCATTATTTATAACTAAAAATATTGATACAAATAGCAAATTTTAAGTAACTAGAAACTAATAAAAATGTATTAAAAAAGAAACAGAAAGTCTAATAATTTTAAAAAGAAGTAATAAAACCTAGGAACCATAAAGCGGCACTTTCCTCCAAAAAAGGAATTTTCCAGTATTTACCCTTGATTCATGTCATGTTCAGTGTCGTCCAGCCAAACGCGTACTTGCATGGCATTTCCTTCTCGACACCATTGAAAAATATCCTCCATCTTTTCAATAATCAAATAAAATAAAAAAACTGTGTAAATATTATAACGGGGGAGTGGCAGTGCACCGTGCGCCAAAACACTGTAGTCGTCATATACTAAATATAACCATATTTCCGCACAAGCAACGTTGGCACAAAAAATGCATTACTTCGATGTACTTAACAGATCAATTGATAGCGAAATTCAATGTACTATCGAGACATTGAAACATATATCGATTTATAATAGCACACAATGTTTAATATGATAATTTGATCGTACATCGATGAGTACAATTGTACATCTGACCATATATGATGCGTGGAATTGTGTACTGCCTCAGACAGGAGGCAGTTACTTCATACTCCCCACATCTTCCACAAAATCTGTGTAAGACTATCGTAGTACCATCTATTCAATAATATATAAACTAGTATAAGAATTGCTGGATACATTATCGATGCGTTTATAATTTTACAAGATTAAAAGATTAAAAGATTAAAAGATATTGTAAAATAATTATTAATTGAGTAAATTATTTATTAGAATCATTCGAAAATTATTTTTGTACTACTTTGAAATTGTTTTATCATTTTAGTATGAATAACGACATTACCGATACAGTATACGCTGAAATTGTATTGTAATCATTTGCACTTAACCACAATATACTTCAATTATTAAAATAACACAATATACACTCTTTTAAAGATGTAAAAGAAGGAATTTGACTAATTTCATCGACTTTTATTAGTAATTATAATAGTAATCGATAATTGTGGACACTGTAATACCGTCGTTGCAGTTGATTTCTACGAGTTGAAGTTACACTTTGCTACACTAGATGGGAGGATGAGAACATTTTAATTTATTCATAACGTTCTTGGTTTAATGATGTAAAATTGATAGTCTTTCTGTTACATTTTCTGATTTATATTGTTGCTGACGTTCATTTCAATATTAATTCTTAAAATTATTTGAAGAGATAAAATTAAAATTTCAAAGTCTATGTCCTTTCTCTCCAATTTCTTCAGTGGTAAAGGACAAGATAGCATGCGGTATAGATGCCATTAAAGTTAACTACTAATAGAACGAATCATCAAATCCATAAATAATAAAAAAAAATCTTTAGATTCTGACGAATACATTATCATATACAATTTCGGGAATATAAATTTGTAAAAAGGTTTTGGTTTCCCTTGATATTTTATTACATTCACTTCTTTATATTTTATATTTTTCAAGATATAAATTCGTTTCTACACGAACTTATATTTTGTAATCTCAAGCTTTGTAGACTGAATATAATTCCTAAACTAATAGTTGTAAATCCTAAAAGGTATAAAACAGTTTTAGAGAGTACAAAATCTTTGATATTTTACACTATCGGTAATTTAAAAGATGCAACGATGCAGAAGACGCAAAAATCCTTTTTATGAGATGATAGATGTGTCTCATACTACGCCTATGACTGAAAATTGTAGCGTTATTTAAACAAAATTCATACCTTTTTCGCACATAACCTCTAATCTCGCCAAACACGTTATCGTTAGAAATGCATTGAAAAAATTATTAAGCTTTTAACAATTTTCACGCTACACCTTTCACTCAACAACTACACAATGGAATAACAACGAAACATAATCTAAATGTACCGTACGATCGTTTTTTGTCCTTCGATCAATATAAAGCAATATACCTCGTACCGGGAGAACTTAATTAAATCAAGACAGGAATAAAATAAATCCAAGAGGAAATCCTCTTATCTTTCATTCTGATTCGATGTCATCCGAAAGACTTTCTGGGAATAGTTCTCGTACTTACCCTTGGATTACTTTCCCCTCCGTGTGCAACGATAATTACACGATTTTCCACAAATCGATACCTTGCTGAACAAGCAATACTTAATCCTGCATACACATACTTCTCTTTCGGATTCTTCGATCATGATATGCATTTCCCAATAAACGTCATTCGAAGCCATAATTCTTCTGTAGTGGATAGTTAACACGCATTTAGCCAATGATTTTTCTCTCTAACAATCGATGATCTTATTGGTCACTAGCCAGGCAGGCCTCCGGTACGTGATATTGTGGCAATTTTATTTGAATTGTTAATGCGCGAATAATATGTGCTAATTAATAGGCGTGCACGAGTCACGTGATCGTACATCGATAATAAGCGATGGTGCTATTTACACCTATTTACACCTGTTCCTTTCATTACATCACTCGTTTTTATCTGGTTCATTATGATTTTATACTAAGTAAAATTCTGAAACTAAAACTTTCTATTAACTGTTTCTGTACCTAGCGTGCTTTAAATATTTTATAATACAATATATATACATTCTACAATATCTTGGTACAATCTAATTATAGGTTAGTATTAAATGTGCATAATGATGTTGTTTGCTCTTGGTGCATAATTAAATCATTTTTGTTGGCTAGGAAAAAATGCAATAATTGCAGAATGTTATTTGATTGTACCGGTATCGAAGTCAAACAAATATTTGAAAAATTCACACATGCTTTTTATATATGCTAAATGTCTTGATTGGTACCTTTTCCCTTATCAATAGAAAATAATGATTTCCATAAATGCATCGTACACTTTAGAGTAGGTTAACTCATGTAACGCAGTAGAACTTGGAAAGTAGGTTAGCTATGTGATCAGAAAGTGATTTGAGATCTTAAAAAAAGGGTGAAAAAGAATGGACGAAATTTTTAAGAGGTTTCGAAGACATCGTGCCCTAATATCCGATTTCTTAATATCTTTCGTTACAAGTAACGAATTGAAAAGAATAAATCGAAGCGGTTGAAATGTACATAATTATCTGAACAAACCGTATCATTTTTCGCGCGGAGTTTCCCTTGTGTCTTATAATATTAATTATATCTGTTACCGATTCCGTTTAACTAATCGACTTCAACCTTGCATATCTATTAAAATAGTATTGTCATTGAACGAGGCACTTTCGTTGTTCTCTAGTATATCGCAGGGATACGTAATGTAGATGTGTTCGTTCGTGACGCGTCTAAACATAGAATGAAATCGAGGATAATAAATTACTAGCACGTGAGAGAACTTCACTGGGAAGAACGACGGGTTTATGATGGATATCGTTAAAACCATATCCCTGTTTTATGTGGAACGGTGATTTAGAGGAAAAACAGTGGCACGTAACGTAGAAGTGTCCAGTAATTAACGATCGATATAAATTGTAACTTTCGTAACGACTCAACGCATTAATAATTAAAAATTGTGAATTGCATTACTCGCGGTATAAAACCAAGCTGTGAATTATTCAAATCTTTATTGTCATCTCGAGAGATCGCACACGTACATATATGGGTCGCAAAGCGATAATCACAGCGATGTTGCTGTTAAGCGAAGCAAGTTTGGAGGATCATCGAAACGGTTGATAGAAAGACATAAAAATGAGTGGAACATGGTGAAATAAATCCTATTTATCGGCATACTGACAACAAGATAAAAATCTAGCCTTGTATCGCAGGTGTGGTCTAATGTCATATAATTTTTACGTCGGTTTCACGTCGCTGCAATATGAATAATGACGTCTTTATCGGTCGACCTCCTGCGCATTACGAACAGTAATTCTAAAATTGCACACGATGCCGTTCAACTCGACCGTGCTATATGCAAAACGTTCCGTATTTTTCTTCTTCCCCTTCCTTTTTTTCCCCTTTTTCTTTTCTTTACGCACGATTTAATTAATTAAGTGAACACGATACGAGTTTATGAAGTAGATGATAAACAGGTTCGATTAAGCAAGTGTGAGTCAAAAAGCAACGATTGATACGAAATGGTCACGGAAAACGGTTCTATTTGGTTTTGCAGCGATATCGCAAAGATTTGGAGAAGAAAAAAATGGATGCTTGGTTGCACAATTCTGCCCTTGGTCTACATCGTTTCTTTGAACAGTCTGCACTCAACCTCGGGCAAAAGTGGAGGCCAAACACCGATGGAGAGGGAAAAAACGTTGTCCACAATGTTGAAACCACGGCTAATTATCGTAAATGAGAAATAGAGATATATAAATGAAATATGAACAAAATTGATAGACGAAAGTGTCGAATAGAAATATTATAAGCCGATAAACGCTTTAAATGTTATTCGAATACAAGGATATTGAATATGACTGTTTGTGAAGTGACCACGCGAACATGGGGGCTATTCGTGCATGGCGATCCTTGAGGTAATTATTAATAATTAATTAAGGTTATTTACATACGTGTTATTTATCATAGGAATTTAGAAATATAGATCATCCCACGAGGGAGCGCATAGGGATAGTTTGAATATTCGTTGAAAACGTCGAGGTCAATAATTATGTAAAATAGAAACAACCATTTAGCGTGAAGGAACAGGTATTTAGGCGTGGATTAAACACCAACTTAGAACACAATAAATTATTATTATTAATAATAGTTACTCCATAATTTATTATCTAACAAACTTTATCCTTCAATTCGAATTATTAAAGTCACGCATAAAATCTGTATTTCATTTTAATTTCTTTTCTTACGAAAATTATATTGTACAGTATAAAAATATGAGATTATTTCATTATCTAAATCAATTATGCATGAGCATCGACTCTATCATTAGGGTTCTCCTTGCGCGTTTATCGCAATCAAGGGTTCAACAGTAGTATTTAGTAATAACATGCATGCAAGAATAGAGTTTACGTCTGTTGAATACTGCCATATGTACAGCTTGTAATTAGCTGAAACATCTAATGATTTAATTTGTACGACGTGTGAGATGGAAAGTGCTTTGTCTGTACCTTGAAACGTGTTACAGAAGGCACGCAAACTATCTTACGAGATGGGATCTTTAATCGCTTGTCTGCACGCAGTTTCTCTGTAAATTCAAATGTGTATTCAACTCTGTGTATTCAAAGTTAGCGCAATTCGTATCTTTATTTTCTCGTTTTAATGATCTAACCTTCGTAATTTCGTTTTTCTTCATTCACGAAGACATCGCGTGAACGATACACCAACGAATTATAAACTATAAATATTTTATACCATCGTGGAATAAAATTAACGATGAGTCTTCTATCGATGATGTACGCTGATAATCATTGTCACTTTTCTTATTGTTCTTTTCCATTTGCTCGCGTGCGTCCAGCGATTATGCAAGGATTCGAGCAATCGCGTGGCTTTGTTCCGTGTAACTCGAAAGCCCGTGGAATAATTAAGATACTCAATGATTCATCGACGTCAGTTAATGGATTGCCGCGGATATTCTGCTTTCTCTTAATAACAATCCGTGTTTAGTGTTAAAAACACGTGCGTTTTATATTACAGAAAACGCGCAGGACTCCGGAATAATTAACGGGAAGAAAGAAATATACTCTCAAAGGGAATTGATAATATATCAAATAATTTAAACGTTAAAATGTAACTTGGGATTTAAAAATTCGAAAATTTGAAAGCTCGAGGATTGTTAGAAATAATTAATTCTTTGTAACACACAGAGGTCAGATTGACGTCGTTTATATTTTTTCCAGATAATCTCACCGATAATTATACGAATCGCGAAAAGAATAAACAAAAATCAATTTATTCTCACACTCGTAATAACGTCACGTCTATTGAAATACTCCTGCACATCCATCGTCTTCACTTTCTGCTCGTGTATACGATATTAAATTACTTACCAGCCTGTATTCTGACAATTTTATTAAAAACACGTCACGTTCGATTAACGTTGATCAATTACGCGACTAATTGAAGTATATTAGTACTGCAGTTTCTCAGTTACAAGAATAATTTCGATAGTAACGGCAGTGAACGAATTAATTAAATATATCTTTACACGAACAATCTGTTAAGATTATGGTAATTGAACGCGAGTTAAATGAATCGAGATTTCGCAATTAACGCGAGTTTGCAGTTATTAATTAAGTATATGATATCGATATCGTATTCTTCCGATATTCGCAATACAAATTTTTAAACGACTGCGCAGTTCCAAGGGAATGGAAAGAGTAGACGCATATGTATTATAGCGAATTGTTTGTAGGTTATGTTTACAACTCAATCTGCACAGTTGCGTAACGCGGATAAAAAATAATAATTCGAAAAATGCACGCATGACATAAATTTTCCATAGTCCTTATAATTCCTTTTCGAGATTCCTCGTTGCATTTAACATCGTATCCGTATTTGGAAAGCAAAAGTCACTCGATCTCGATACACGCGATGATCAAAATTTATAGTATACGGTTGTGCTAATTTCCGATAGGCTAATAACGCATTATCCCATATCGAGAAGCGAAGTCGGCCAAAATGAAATTCGCAGGCAGTCATTTTTAGACGGAGAAACTCGTTCGGTTTCAACCTCGACCTCGACAAGAAGAACAACGGCTATTTTTATCTAATTTACACGTCAAGGCAAAGGCAAATTTCGTGATTCCCTTCATCGTTTCACTTTATACTGCAATATCGCGATTCCTCTCCTTCTTTTTCTCTCTTTCTGTTTTTAGCTTCATTTTTCCTCTTAAACTAATAATTCCCTTCATTTTCTCGCCTCGCGTAACAATTCCACTCCTTCATAGTTTCAACGATCTCCTTGAACATTATTTATTAATTTAAGCAACGTAAGTATTAATGTAAGTCCATCGCCGTACGACGATATTTATGAGACTATCGGTAAAAGTAACCCCTGAGGTATCTACATTTCGAGATAAGTGCATAAATAATTGATACGAGCTATGCACATTTTTCGTCATTCTTATTGCGCATATCGTATGCCATTTGTAAATAACATTGATAAAATTAGTAATCTAACATATGAATTAAGTTGCGCCGGGAAAAACCACCGTGACTTTTTGCACTCTGAATTCCGTACATTTTTCTTCTCTCGTCTATCAGGGATTGCAGGTCACGTAATCGCGTCGATTATCGTAATTAGTAACCGAGTCCCTCTCGTTAACGATCGTCCAAACGTTCATTACGATTCGTCGAGAATTTCTTGTGCAGCTACGCGTTGATTTACGCGAGATTAAAAATAAAAAAACCGCATTACGATTGTTAAACGATTAGAATTTCTGTACGGTTTCTCGTTAGACCATAACCGCGTACCTGTTCGTATCTTCGTCGGGTATATTCTTTCGCTTGTACGCGTATAATCATCGCGAACTGAATTATGATTTATATCGCGTAGTTACACCGTGATACACAAACGTAATCTTACGATAAATCGGCGAATACAGGCTAGCTTCATAATATTTATCTACTCGTCATTGAGTCTCACCGTCTCTTCGTTCTTTCATCGCTCATTGTCGACTATCGCGAGTCTTATTCACGTATAATTCAGTCATTATATTACAAACTGACAGATACCGTTTAAGCGTGTTCATAAAATGGTCGTGTGTCTAGGTGCAGCGTTGGTGTTCGGTGTGATCGCAGCCTGTGTGGCATCCTGTTACTACTGCAAAAGGTTGTACCAACAGTATGGTAAGTACGCTACCGATTTTCTCGATCACGTTCGTTATCGGCAAGCGAATCCGAATTTTTACTAGTTGTAACGTTAATTACAAATATTAATCGAGTCACGAGACACTTCATCATGGATGTTCTTCTTGGACTCGTAACTAGAGGATTAACAAACAGCGATGGAGGAAAGCAAGAGTCAAAATTTACTATCGTTCTTAACTAAAGTCAGCATCGTGACCCGCTGACACGATCTGCCTATCTTAAAGGATAATAAGATTTATTTACCGCCGACTGGACGAAATATCTTTCGCAATGAACGTGTTCGTGATCAATCGACTTTGTTACCCAATTTTGTTTACGTTTAGTTATCGCGAAGCAAGTCGACGCAAAAGGAACGAAACGTAATCGATCGCGTGTCGTTTAATTGATTTCGCGAGAAGGGAAGAGAAAAAGGAGAGGGAGGGATAAGGAAACTGACGAATTTTTTCAGATAAAGATGAGTCGATCGACAGTGAACCACCTTTGGTTCGCATTAAGATATCGCATCCCCAACAAGAACAAAAATCTTCCAACGAAATTGGCTCCGATGCGTCGGACAGCAGAGGAAATTCTATCGATTCGAACGAAGCTGAGGAAGTGAAACAGGTTGTGGAAGATGCAGGACCGGTTTCCATGGAGGAGCCACGGACTGTTTCTGTGAAGCTACCCCCCGATCGACGCAGGTATCGTCCTGTTGGTTTATTAATTTATGGATACACACGGTTCGTTAATTGATAATTATGGCGATTTTCAATTAACGAGACAAACATCCGCAGGCAAGAATACAGAGAATATAGAAAATCGTTCAGGGTAAGAACGGTATTTAATAATTCAGGTTACGAATTATATCGCTCGAGAAGTTAATACCCTTTTACGTAAATTGACATTTTTGCACGATATGAAACAGGTGATTCGATTTACTTGGTACAGCGAAATCTTTTGCAGGGTATCGTCAAAAATTTGGTCGACCGCGTTGCAGAACCAATTAAAAGACATTACGAATTCTTCATCGGAGATCTGTGGGAGCACGAGGGTGGTACAAGCTCAGATCGAAGTGAAACCTACGAATCTACGTGGACGGAAAGATTCCCTAGGCGATGATTGCGATAATTCTTCGCGATGCGCTTCCACCGAGAATCATTTGACCAATGAAAAAGGTAGGAAGCTGTCCTTTGTCGCCAAGAAGCTTAAGAATCTAAAGAAAACGATAATCTCCTCAAGGTTAGTGCATGAACTTTTCAACAGCTTTCGTAATCGTTTTATTCGTAGACTGATGTTATCGAAAATAATAATAATAATTAATTCGAATAATCCACGCTACTGTGTTAATTATACTACCCTACTGTTATACCAAACTCCATTCTTGTTTAAATTTCCAGACCTGCCTGTTCCGTTCGAAGATTTCGGAACCAGAGGTTAAGTATTCCTCTTGAAACCCATAATCAGCCCTCACCGATCGTCGAATGTTCGTCGTTGCTTCCAAACAATCGATTCGTCGACGTATCGACCTCGACGAGGATAAGTGCAAACGCCTCGAATCTGAGAGCGCAGCATGACGAAGCTATGGCGAGCTATAGCAATAGGCTGAGCGAAAATGGCGAAACTTCGAAGCAAACGGGGAACGATCATCAATCGATCGTCAACTCGAAATCGGAAACGTTGCAAGAAGTGGTGTCGTTGATCAAACGTCAATCCATAAAGGGAAAATCGATTTGCGACGTGACGATCAACGGCTTAGCTATCAATCATGCTGAGTTACTGGATCTGTTCGAGGCGAGCGAAGGAGAAACTAGATCAGCGTCCATCGTGTCAACCAAGGAAGCCTCGATCATTTCTATCAAGTTCCATCGTCGACGAAACGACGAGCTGTCCGATACGAAAGACACTTCCTATTACGAGTGTCCATTGACTAAATTTTACAGAAGCTTGCCAGAACTGTTCGAGGATATATCCTTCCCTAGGTTGTTCAGGTCCCAGGAAGTCCTCGAGACGTCCAAACCTACACCATCCATTCGAGTTTCCGATCACTCGATGGGGTTGATGAATTCCACGAACGAAACATCGTACATATCCATTCCTCGAGTAAGGGGCAATTTCGTTGCCAAAGAGTCGGTGTTCCAGCGAGGACGAAATCTGTCCAGGCGAGTTGGGAACAGTCACGTGGCCAGATTCGTTCAGGAACATCTGACATAAGATCCACGCGAAGGTTTTCTACAAATATTTTATCACGATTTACGCAATGATACGCGCGTCTTGTTCAACGAAATAATTTTCCTTTTTCGTTCCGCGAAGCAGGACAGGAATCCCAGCTAAGATTCTTGATCCTGCTTGCGATACCGAGAATGATTATTTGTATAACGCAGGTGTTTTTATGAAAACTTCTGCAATCTCGTTCTCACCTTGACTGCGAGTAATTAACGACGAAAACACGAATAACAATGATCACATCCATATATTCCTAGAACGATGCTAGGTAATTAGGTACTAGATAATTGAATAATTAGATGATTAGCAATAATAATTGAAGACAAAGCGACTGTAGTCCCTCCAAATATAACACTCGAGTAAGTTAACGATTTTGTAACTTTTATACCGATGAAATGTATAGAATGTGTAAGAATAGCAATAAAATGTATTACACGAAATCGTTCGCGTACATGGAATCGTTTAGAGTCGATTAACGCGTCAGCTATCTCGATCATTTCCATTGATGCGTCTGTTTCTTCTGTATGCGCTCAGGCCCAGTTACCAGGTACGGTTTTTCAAAACATTCCGGCAATAGTAATTAGCAATAGTAATAGACGCTTTGTCAGGTTCGCAACTACAAACTTGCATGATAACGATTCAAATGAAAATTCCTCTTTTTGCCATTGCTCGCTTTATCGCGATCTTGATCTACGTTATATAAATTTCCAACAATCCTGCAATGATATCGCACAATCGTTGCGATCTCGACTAAGCGAGCGTTTTCATAGAAAATTTCTTGCCACGATTTCCACGGCGGACGATCCATGTGGAAAAGATTTCTGAATAATCGTTAATTACGCAATGAGACCATGCGTACGTACATCCTTTTTTCTTTCATCGTTTCCTCATTGTGTCATTCCGAGATGCGCGGCTTAATTAATCGAGACGAGAACATGTTCCAGGTATTCCTATAGTTGGATAACAGGAGGCGTTCTTCCTCGCGATGATGGCTTTTTCCTTTTCGAACCTGTCATCCTCGTTTGTATTACATACTACCGTAGGGTCGAGAAATTTAATGCTTTTATAAATTCGCTCGTTATCTTGATCGACCAAGTGCCAATGCGTGTTTCTATTCACGATGTGCATTGACACGATCAGATAATGAGGAATAGCGAACGTTCGAAAAAAGAATTCCTCGCTGTAATTGTTGTAAATATAATCATATTGCTTAACTCGACTAACGTTCGTTAATCAGGCGATCAGATAGGGATCAAGCGAAAACGGAACAAACGGTGTTTTGACTTTCTTGACATACGATTTCTTTTCGTTTCTGAATCCTTCCTTTCGTATCAGATATTTTCCAGTGGTTTTCCTCTGTCACTGTACAATTTGGTTGCATGCCTCATTCACGATCGATTATTCGAATGAATCTTATCATTATTCAAGATTAAGTTGATTTACACACCCTAGTCGCTCAGTCGATAATTGTACCGCAATAAAATTTCATGTTAAACAACTAATATCGACTGCAAATGAGTCAGAGCCAATGGAACTTATGCATCAAAGACATGGTATCTTCGCATAAATCGCGTCGCATAATTAAACGACCAACTCTGGTAATTCATTTAAATTACGCGGTCATGCGGAAGCGAACCTTTGCGTCGGCCATTTATTCCACGCAGCGTTTTACGCGATGCAATTTTAATGTTACGTTTGCATGTGTTCACGACTGCGAGTGTGATCCATATCTCGTATAATAAACTGTCCTTAACAAAGTCTCCGGTATCCTTCGTTGATTAACCACGGCAACGACTGTACGAACGCGACAGGACGTGAAGTAGAAACATTCCACGTTCTTTCGCGATTAGGAGAGACGCTTCGAGGGATCGATTTCGACCTTAAATCGACGATTTCTCGAACGATTTCTCGACCGATTTCTAGACCGATGGTAATTTTTCATGGATAATGATCCCTACTGGTCGCATTAGCAGCAACGAGCCTTGGCCGATCAGCTGCTTCGCGTATTATACTTTGTGATTTAACTCGTTTCTTCCAGAAAGGGAACGTTTAATACCGAGAGATCTCGATTCACTTGCGCGGATTCAAAATGGCAAACGATGTAGAGGGTGCCGAAATCTGTATCAACGTTATCACGTAGTCATGTTGTATCTTCCAATAAATTTCCACAAATTCGTCGACTTACTCACCAGCATGACACCGCTAATGAATTTTAATGAGCAATGCGGTTGAGAAATTTATGATACTTTGCAGCCTGGCTCGGAGAATAATGGCTAACGAAACTCGCTATTCGACGTTTCTTTTTCTTCCTAACTTTGCAGTTACACTATTCAAAGGTGTTTCCTGCTCCCGTTCAAGATGAAACGACGATCTACTAGGCTGACACGGAAAACAGGGGTCCCGTAAATTTGTCTGGATATAAATAACGATGACACAATATTGGGACCGCTTTTTGCGAATATGATAACATCGGTTCTGCGAAATCGAGTTGCAGGAAGTCCCGACGAAATTGAGTTCCCGACTGTATCGAAAAATCCAAACGAAATATTTCCTTATGGTTAGATTTGATTCATTACCGTTGCCTGGCTCGAAACGAATCGCTGCACTGTGTGACCGTCACGCCAAAAAGAGGCAAAAAGACATTTAAAAAAAGTTTGATTTTAAACGAAATTTTGCATCCAATAGTTAATTGGGATTATGGACCATAACATAGTACCATTTTTTTTTTTAACATTCGGCCACTTTTATTATATTTACGTGACTTTAAAGAAGTCGAGTTCCAAATTCCGTGAAACTATTATTCTCCCTTATAAATTGATCTACTATAATTGAACCGTAAATGACACAATGAAATCTACGTAGTACACCCTTCAATTGAGCAAGGGTTCAAACTTTTGTTCGGAATATTATTTCAGAAACAGCTATTTCAATGTTTTTAATTTTCATTGTACCACTTCGGTATCCACTCGACAAAATTCGGCATTCAATGTTACGATATCTTCAAGATTGAAATCTCCGCCATATTTTATAAAATGAATTACCTGGAACTTGTAGCAACTCCGAAAGATATGTGAATAAACAGTTGCTCCAGCAGCAGTCGCAAACTACGTAGTAACACTCTAAGGTTTGCACAACCGACACTTTACTTCGCACATGTCACATCAAAATCGAAAAAAATTGCCAGAATTATTTAGGAAATTACCTATTCAAACCTATGTTAACTCAATATCCTAATCCAAAATCGAAATTTAGAGGCTATAATCGATACTAGCTACCTACGCAGTATATTTATACAACTCTCACTCTCATCACATTATTTCGCACATGTCACCTTAAAATCGAGTAAAACTTGGAAATATTAATCAAATTTCAACTAAATATTCCAATCCACAATCGAAATATGGAATCTACAATCGATAATAAGAAACTACGCGAAATGTTTATAGTATTCACATCACCGTCGCTTCACTTTATACATGGACTGTCAAAATCAGAGAAAAATTGCTAAAACTATTACAAAATTGTATTCTCATAGATATTTTAGGCTAAATATACCACTGCACAATCAAAATTTAGGATCTGTTAACTATGATAGCAAACTACGTAGAATGAATATACTATTTGCCCTGCCGTCGATTCACTTCGTATTTGAACTGCCAAAATCGAAGAAAAATTGACAAAACTGTTACAAAACTGTCTTCTTATAACTATTTTGTGCTAAATATGGCATTCTACAATGAAAATCTAGGATCTATTATCTATAAAAGGAAACTACGCAGTATGCATATACTATTAGCCCTGCCGTCGCTTCACTTCGTACTTGAACTGTCAAAATCAGAGAAAAATTGCCAAAACTATTAGGAAACTGTCTTTTAATAACTATTTTGTGCTAAATATGGCATTCCACAATGAAAATCTAGGATCGATTATCTATAAAAGGAAACTACGCAGTATGCATATACTATTTGCCCTACCGTCGCTTCACTTCGTACTTGAACTGTCAAAATCAGAGAAAAATAGCCAAAACTGTTACAAAACTGTCTTCTTATAACTATTTTGTGCTAAATATGGCATTCTACAATGAAAATCTAGGATCTATTATCTATAAAAGGAAACTACGCAGTATGCATATACTATTAGCCCTGCCGTCGCTTCACTTCGTACTTGAACTGTCAAAATCAGAGAAAAATTGCCAAAACTATTACGAAACTGTCTTCTAATAACTAATTTGTGCTAAATATGGCATTCTACAATGAAAATCTAGGATCTATTATCTATAAAAGGAAACTACGCAGTATGCATATACTATTTGCCCTACCGTCGCTTCACTTCGTACTTGAACTGTCAAAATCAGAGAAAAATTGCCAAAACTATCACGAAACTGTCTTCTAATAACTAATTTGTGCTAAATATGGCATTCTACAATGAAAATCTAGGATCTATTATCTATAAAAGGAAACTACGCAGTATGCATATACTATTTGCCCTACCGTCGCTTCACTTCGTACTTGAACTGTCAAAATCAGAGAAAAATTGCCAAAACTATCACGAAACTGTCTTCTAATAACTAATTTGTGCTAAATATGGCATTCTACAATGAAAATCTAGGATCTATTATCTATAAAAGGAAACTACGCAGTATGCATATACTATTAGCCCTGCCGTCGCTTCACTTCGTACTTGAAATGTCAAAATCAGAGAAAAATTGCCAAAACTATTAGGAAACTGTCTTTTAATAACTATTTTGTGCTAAATATGGCATTCCACAATGAAAATCTAGGATCTATTATCTATAAAAGGAAACTACGCAGTATGAATATATTATTTGCCCTGCCGTCGCTTCACTTCGTACTTGAACTGTCAAAATCAGACAAAAATAGCCAAAACTATTAGGAAACTGTCTTTTAATAACAATTTTGTGCTAAATATGGCATTCCACAATGAAAATCTAGGATCTATTATCTATAAAAGGAAACTACGCAGTATGCATATACTATTTGCCCTACCGTCGCATCACTTCGTATATGAACCGTCAAAATCAGAGAAAAATAGCCAAAAGTATTAGGAAACTGTCTTTTAATAACAATTTTGTGCTAAATATGGCATTCCACAATGAAAATCTAGGATCTATTATCTATAAAAGGAAACTACGCAGTATGCATATACTATTTGCCCTACCGTCGCATCACTTCGTATATGAACCGTCAAAATCAGAGAAAAATTGCTAAAACTATTACAAAACTGTTTTCTTATAACTATTTTGTACTAAATATGTCATTCCAAAATGAAAATCTGGAACCAACTATCTATGATAGGAAACTACGCAGTACGAATATATTATTTGCCCTGCCGTCGCTTGACTTCGTACTTGAACTGTCAAAATCAGA